AGTACTTTTTATTATAGCATTTATTTTGTTTTGGATACTTCTTATAGCTATTCTACGAATAATCAACGATCGCTACTTTTCGTTAGAATTTTAATCTTTTTCCTATATGTATATGATATACTTAATATTTTCCTAAAAATTATGTTCTTTACACGAAAGTAAAATTATAGTAATGGTTTGTTTAGTGAGGTTAAGTGATCTTTTGAAGAAAAAAAAAAGAAAAGAAGAAACTAGTTTTTATACGAATACATCTGTAATATAATAATCCATATGACTGAACACATTTGGTGAAGAACCAAAATGTAATACACTTTGTTGAGTCTAAACAATGGAAAAAAAATAAATGTTTTTTTTCGCTTAAAGCTACCTGTCCATTTTTTGATGGAAAGCTGTATTAGTTGATGGTGAGCTTACGCACCCACCTGCAGGTCTTCTCATTGTCCCTCCTCATCTGGGCCCTGAAGCCTTGTGCACAGAATGTGGCAGGTGGAACTTGGCAAGAAGCCATGAGTAAATAACGTAAGCACGTGCCCAACACCTATGGCACACGCGCCTTTCGAACATATATATATAATCGCACTACTTAAAAAAAAGAAAAAAAGAATTGGCTTGGGGCATTAGAAACGAATACAGTGGTTTGGGTGAGGCCTAGTCTGGATGTTTAGAGATGACTGTAGTGTTCAACACACTCCCAACAGTCGTATGTTTCAGAATTATGTCCACTTTCTCTCGTCTTGAGTCATGTCAAGAATATTAGATTTGGACAAATATCGCTCTGTTTTAAGTTCATGATTTTTATATGTTGAACAAGCTCTTGCTTGTTAACCATACTAAATAGTTCTAGAAGTTAGAATATTTGTCATGGAATGCGATTTATACGTGTGGCTTGTACAAATTACTTAGATAAAATGAACAATAATTACAATTTTAATTCCTCAATTCTAGTTCACACCATGACAGTTGGTGATAAAAACAGGGCATATCTTTCGTGTCCTAGCCGGTCTGATGAGCCCTGGTATTAGAAGAAAGGCCTCGTCAGCACTAGATATGGCAGATGTAGTGTGGTACAGGGCATATCTTTCGTGTCCTAGCCGGTCTGATGAGCCCTGGTATTAGAAGAAAGGCCTCGTCAGCACTAGATATGGCAGATGTGGTTGACATTATTCTTTACTTTCACTCATAACTTCTTAGAATTGTGTTACTTACTAAGCAATAAACTATTTATTTTTATTTTTGAGTATGAATACGGTTTTGTTTTTTAACACTATTGACATAGTAGGTCAGATTTTTCTTAGAGTACGTGTTATTTTTAGAATTATCAATCTGAGTGTGAACTCAAGCATGTGTTTTAGGATTTCATGTCGAGTACTACGGCTTTTGGGCAGAAAAAAAGGCTCACAAAAATAATAAAAGGGCCTTGATAAAACAAGAGCAACACTTTTGTGACATTAGAGAGAGAATGAAGTTTAATGAGAAGCGTTTTAGTCATATTTCATGCGCTTAGAAGAAATACTTTTATTTCTTATCTTCTCAAACTCTTGTCTTTGTTTATAACCATCCGTCTTTCTTTTTATCAATGTCAAGCTAAATATGGTATTGAAAAGGAAGGTTTGTTATTATAGGTTACAAGAAGTAGCAGAATGATGACTTAGTTATAAAATTAAGGGCTTACATCATTGAAATTCAGGGCTCGATCCCTATGTTTGGCACAGTGCAGATCTGACGAACACACAAGCAGCGGTAGTGTATGATCTAACTAAATTATTTCCGTACTCAACTGATTCTTTTTCGTGTTGATTTTATTTTATCTACATTTTATAAGAGTTTTTAACAGTCAAACAACAGGTTTTTCTTTGTCGATATCTGCTGAATGCTTGTAATGCATTTTAATGTATTATTTGCAGGTCCCCACGGTTAAGCAGAGTACCGTGATTTGCAAGGCCATATGGCGCGTGCCAGTCATTGTCGGGTAGTGCAAATAGCCACGTGACCAATCCACTCTACTCCGCCCACACGCCGCTAGCACTGAAAGATAGAAAGAGGGATAAGGGGGTGCGGCATGACTTTGTCTTGTTTCTCTGCTGTAACAAAGGGTCTCTCTTACTTGATTGTCATACATACTTCTCTATGTTGCAAAAACTATAGAGGATGGTGTTTCTATTATTCAAATGTTGAGGAGTACTTATTTTACTTCATCATCAATATTTTATAAAATATTTTACAAACTCCAAGAGTTACTCAAAAAGTAATAGTAAACTTTGTAAGGCCAATTTTACTCAAGTTTTAAGCATTAATTTTATGTCAGTACCTTTGAGAGAAGTTTGTTTGTTGTTAAGTGCAAAGTTACACAATGTGCTATCTGTGCTCTGTTCACCACAGGTATCGAAATCAGATTTTTAGCGTTATAGGTACTCAAACTTATCGCTGAAAAAAGATAAGACAATAAATAGAGCGATTTTTTTTTAATTTTATATTCATATTCGTTTTTGAAGATGACGTGAAACCACGTTGAAGCGAGACTGAAGATATTTTTATTTCTGTTTCTGTGTCATTAAACATAAAGCTACACAATTTGGAACCTTATACACAGATAATTAGGCCCAAAGACTCCTAGGGATCAAGTACAGTCGTCTTTAATTTTAATCTTGACAAGATGGAGGGCAACCAGCTAGCAACATCCACTGCCATAAAGGTAACGTCCAGCGCCTTCAACCGAAAATGCAATTGATTGCCACTTTTATAATTCACCTATAGCTGAGAGCGTTAAACAAGTTCAGCGACATCTGGAATCTTGGATGTTACGATACGTAGCCCAACACATTAACCGCTAGGTCAAGATTGTCCATTTCAAGTGGCTGTCACATCATCTTAACTTTAGACTATTTCGTTTATAAAAACAAACTTCCAGGGTATCTTAACTTTTTATAGATATACTCAGGGCCATATTAAGGGTGAGGCAGAAAGAGCAGCCCTAACGAAAAGAAATTTTAAATTTCTTATGTACTGTATGCATTTGTATTTATTGGAGGGGGGGGGCAATACTGTTCTACTGTCCTAGGCCAAATCTGACCTAAATCC